TCTCACTGTCAAACAATAACGCATATTGACCAACGCACAGAAATTAGCATAATCGGGACTTCTTTTTTCGAATAAGAATAAATAAGGAAAGTCGTTCCACCAATTTTCTTAACTTAAGTTTGGTCTAATGGAATAGCGTAGTTATGTTCTCAGCCGTTCAAAATAGTCCCTTTTGTGGAAAATCCAACTGTGTCAACGAATATATATCCTTTACCACAATGAATCGGCGAAATAATAGGTAACATCTTATATGATTGGCATATATTATTTATTTATATCAAATGGCAGGCGTCTTGATGGTTATCATTAGCCCTTTAGTTGACTTCAGGCTTCACAGAGGGGAAGAAACATCAAATTGAAAAAGTCGATAAGGGGGGGGGGGAACAGAAGAGCGTTTCAAATATGTAAGAGATAAACACAAAGGTAGAACAAAGGTAAGGTGAGTACTGTGAAATTTGATTTCAGGCTTCACAGAGGGTAGGAGGAATATCGAAGTGAGAAGTCGAGAGGGGGGGGGGAACAGAAGAGTGTTTCAAAGGTGTTAGAGACAAACACAAAGGTAGAACAAAGGTGAGGTGAATACTGTGAAAATAGTCGAATATGGCATAGAGTGAGGTGACGGTAGTTTGAAGTGAGAAATCAATTGCCGATTAATAGACTATCGCACACCCCTCATTGTACATATTTCATTATGCATAGTATGAATTTATGGCATCCCCTGGACTAGTGGTGCTGAATGGGTGTGTTCTATTTGACAGTACACTGTAATTAATATGCTGAGACTGCATATAGTGGCATTAATTTGTATGATGTCAATCGCCTATAAATGTTGGACAATACATACCTTCACATAAATTCATAGCAATTCACCAATATTGCATCAAGGTCAGAACCAGTGTTTCCTTCTGTAATAAAGGCACTAGGTGCCCATTTCGTAGTTGCATTTAAGGTTCAAAGAAGATGCGTCATAAATCTACGCAAAATTCTCACGAACAAGGCCTTGCCCTTATCGCGGCTGCCACTTCTGAGAACTTAGTTAGTCCATCTTCTTTCCATTAGGAAGCTTTTGTTCTTCTTTGTTCCAATGAATTGACCTTAGCCTCTTTATGTCCTCTAGTTGACTTTCGACTTGCTCCCAATGAAGAACTTGGAAGGAGGGGGGGGGGGAACAGAAGAGCGTTTCAAATATGTAAGAGATAAACACAAAGGTAGAACAAAGGTAAGGTGAGTACTGTGAAATATTCGAATATGGCATAGAGTGAGGTGATGGTAGTTTGAAGTGAGAAGTCAATTGCCAGTCAATAGACTTTTTGCCGTATGAATATACGTTCCCCAGGGTGCACCACGTGGAGGTAAGTCTATTGCACACCCCCATGATTGGCATATAATAATAATAATAATAATTTTTTCTAAAATTCAATATCTATAATGGATGTCGAAACGTTTGATTGTAGGAAATTCCAAGGATTTATCGGACTAATCGATTAGTATTATCAGCAATTTTTCAATTAGATACTGCTTTTCGATTCATTTGCTTTAAATATCACTCACCTCAACCAGTGACCTTCTCGTGTCACGTTATTAGTTAGTAAGTTGAACAACTTTAAGGAAAGTAATTCTAATAAAATTTATTTCAGGTCAACCAATAAACAAGGCAAATTCGGAGTGAAAAGGCTTACTAGTCTGGGGCCAAATAAGCATTTCCGGTTTCAAAAGTGCGAAAAAGCGGTAATCCAGATACAACGACCACTATTCTCTCAATCACCGTTTGGTTTGCACTGAGTATATATCATACTCTTGCCCGAGGTCAGTGTCCCCTCACTGGTTTACCTGCTGGTGCGCCTCTGTACTGACTGATGAGGTCGCAAATTTCTTCAGTTGAAATCAATAAATGTAGCCAACTGAATTGTTGGACAGAGCAGTCATATCAGCAAAACATAAGTGTGTGCATGCACTCCTGAGATGTGGATAGAAGATGCTGACTTCGAAAAATGCTATAAGTAATGGCTGCGTAAAGAAATTCACAAAATAGGCTCAAGGAGTCAGTCTAGTAAATTGAAGACAAGCACGAATGCAACATTATTTACTTATTTATATTAAATGACAGGCGTTTTGATAGCTGTCATTAGCCCTTTCGTTGTCTTCGGGCTTCATAGAGAGGAAGAGGAACATCAAAGCGACAAAAAAGTGGAGAGGGGTGACAGAATAATGATTCACAGATGTGAAAGAGTCAGACAGACACAAAGGCAGAGAAAAGGTAAGATGAGTACTATGAAAGGGGTCGAATATGACATACAGTGGGGTCATGGTAGTTTGAAGTCAACTGCCGGTTAATAGACTTTTTAGCCGTGTGAGTATACGTTGCCTAGGGTGCACCACGTGGAGGCAAGTCTATCACACACCCCATGAATGCAACATTAAAGTACGGTTAAAAACTAAATCTTGGGCCTTGAAGATGGACGGAAATAAATTTGTGTCAGAGGGAATTCAAAATCGCTTTCCCAAGATAATAAGTTTCAGAAAAATACCAAGCGCCAAAAGAATAATGTCGAAGGCTAATTTAATCTTGGTTACTCACTCAAAGTTTAAAAAGATATTTTCATTTGCAGTTTACCTGAGCTAAGTCATTCTTCAAAGAATGCTTGGCCATGTAACCATTTTATTATTCAGAAATAAGTTTACAGTGGACAGCTAAAAGTTATTAAGTTCCTGTTAGAGTAAAAGGAATTGAATTGTTGCATTTTGAGCCTATCGGTCCTACTTTGGCACCTATTGGTGAAAAATTGCTCCTCAAAGGCAAAATTTAGGGGGAGGGGAAGGCGGGCAGACGTTGTCACACGTCCGTTAATTCGTCTTCCATCCATTCATAATGAGCACACAAAGCACTGCGCACTATCTGCGCTATTCCACTTAGATGTTTAACTTATGGCAACGAATCAGATGTTGACAGAAATTATTTATATCCATTCTCGTGCAGTTGTCCAATTGGAGGAAATGTTAGGATATGGCATTCAAATGCATACGCTGCCTCCCAAGTCTGCAGCAATAAATGTGGGAAAATAGAGCCATTTAAATGGTGACCTTTGCTTATCCTACAGATAGACGCACACTGCACTAAGTTGAAGTACACTTAACCCAGTAAAGAAAAACACAGACCACCATGAAAGTTGCCAAAGTAAGCCATAAATATAGTCACGAACAACTGGATATTAGTACCTCTAATGGGGGTGGGGGCAAAATTGAGAAATCACCTATTTTGCACTTTTAAAAAGAGTTAAATGCCTTTTAGTGAAATATTCATTCATATCACATGAAAATTATCATTAGCCCTTTAGTTGACTTCTAGCTTCACATAGGAGAGAAACATCAAAGTCACAAAAAGTGGAGAAGGGGGATCATAAGGGTGATTCACAGTGATAAAAGGGAGACAGACACAAAGGTAAAGAAAAAGGCAAAGTAAGGTGAGTACTGTCGAAGTGGTAGAATATGACATACGGTGGGATCATGGTAGGTTAAAGTCAAACTTTGAGTAAACTTTGCCCAGGGAGCACCACGTGGAGGTAAGTCCATCGCGCACCCCTTAAGTGAAATATAGTACCCAAATTAATAATATTTCAAAACGTAATGGGTACTCGCTTTTCCGTGCACGTAGTGTTACCGAGGTACAAGGCTATGAGTACATCCCCAAAGTAGAAGTTATTCTTCTACTCTATTAATGAGAATTAGACTCCACTGATTCATCAGAATCTCATTCCTTTCAACCGTGGAAAAGTTTACCATTTTCCATTATAATTAATAATATCTGCTCATCTGCTCGGTAAAAAGCCATTAAAATCTATGATTTTTTGTATTTTTATTTGTTTTAATTTATTTGGATTAAATCTGTACACTTTGTCGATTGCCTATTTGATACAAAAAAATAAACAACGATTAATCTAGTCGAGCGTACCACTTTGGGATATTTTAGGGGTCTTTTGTGCGAAGTTATGGCTAATGTTGCTCAAACCCATTGAAAAGGGCCAAAATCCACTAGCTCAAACAATTGGTTCCATTTTTTTATATGTATACACATATTTGAGAAAATGTTTACAAATGACCTTAAATCGTCTTCGAAATTGATTAATGACCCTATTGCAGGTAGTTTTTTTGCGCCAGCTAATACCTAACCCAATAGTTCAAATTCCCAAAAGCACCGAATAAATTGTAAGAAAATAAACAAAACAGATAATTATAGCAAAAGTATCAATTAAAACAAATGTGACTGCTTGAAAATTTCGATCAGAACCACTGGTATACCTAACGAGATACACATTGTATCTAAACCAATCGTTATATCACCAAAATGCGTTGTGATAACCCGTCATAAAGTACTACTATTTCATGATGACTTAAATCGCCTTTTCCTTCCTGATAACCAATGTGGTCTGTCCTTCGAATCACTGGTTATGTACCCTTTACGTGATTACTTTCCCTAGGGAATGAGACAGTAATATTTACAAGGCACTCAAGGTAGATCGAGTGCATGTTTCTAAAATTAGCGCCTCCGCACTACGCACAAATGCTCCCTCAAATCACCCCACATCCCACTCGCATCCCATTTTCAGTACTGACCTAGATGGCAAGGTGCAGGCGCATAAAACTCCGAGAAATCCCCTCTTTCAGGGACGCTTATCTTGGTGCTGTGCGTTTGCACTGGCGCACATTGATTCTACGGCGTGCTAGCCTTGTGCACATCCTGATTGGGTACATCTGACCAATTACCACACGCACACTATGCGTCGCACTGACATATGATGCGCGCATGCACGCGCCAGTATAGTGTGTCTATTCCACTGGACGAATAGGGCTTTGGATCAATGAAATGTGGAGATACGGAAGCACATGCAAAGAGATACGCACATGTGCATTGCTTTGGTGACATCATCTTATAGGTGTATGCCGTCTTGATCTTCAGCATCATTTTAGAAGTAGCAACTGGGAAACAGATTTAAATTGACAGGATGTTATACGGTGGACCGTTGGGGACATATCTAAGTGGTTATTATGGTCCAGGAAGTTCAAAAAGTGGGAGCCCGAGTTTTACAAGTACTGGTAGTGGACCTTCCTCAACAAGTTCATACAGTCGTCCAAGAACAGGACGATATCGAACACCTTCAGCTTATGGAGTAACTAGTAGTGGAGCTAGTAGTGCTACATCTCTAACGCCTAATTCCAGCCGATCCAGTTTTTATACCCCTCAAACTCGGAGGAAGTATTCCGATGAGGTAAGATTATGTGACACTTAATCTCTGCAATATTTGCTTGTAGTTAAGGGGGGAGGGTGGTAGGGGAGGGTAAATAAACAGCTCTTTCAGAAGGCGTGATAATCGATCAATTACCTAAAGTCTATTTTATTAAAAACCGTAGTTGTTCGCGTTCGTCCTTGATGACCCAAGTTTGACGATTGATGTTGAGAGAAGGGGAAAAATCACTGACCTCTGACGACACGCTAACTATAATTAACCACATATTCTTGAAAATAAATAAATTTTGTATCCTGCAAAATTATAAATTCCCCTCTATTTATAAAGTAGAATAAATTTCCTTTGCGTAATTAAAGCTTCGATTCATGAATTGGCAAAAAATTTATAATACAGCAAGTAAATATAAATTTTTTCAACAGCCTGTTTAAACATTTTGTTTGACTCGAGCTTCAGAAATTTCCAAAAGTTCCCAAGGAGAAGTTGGCAAAACCAAATTGCAATTTAAAAAATATTTAAAGCGTTATTTGCCAACTTTTTTACTTTGCAAAATTAATTGGCATTGTTCAATAAATCAATCAATTTTTGTGATTTGTAAATAATTCTGTAGTTTGTTCAAGTCTGCCTAGAGGTATTATTTTTCCTTACATTTTTGCTATACTTAAGTGTTTTTTTGTGCAAAGCACCATTTCATAAACGAAATGTCTAGAGTAAAATCTTAAGTTATGAAAATACTAACAATTCAATAATGATCTACTGAACGCTAGTTTAAAATAAGCCTAAAAGCTATCGATTTTACGGCTTACAAATATCCTGTATTTATAAATCTATTTATTAGATATAATTTCTATGGAGAGATTTAAATGGATGTCATTCCCCCCTCCCCCCCCCCCCACTTACCCAAATGAATCATATAAGGTGCCCATTGGGTTATATTATATCGACAGTTCCTCAGACCCATTAGGAAGAAGGCAGGAAACCTTCTACTTATCGCTTACTTAATTTAAGGAGAGAAATTCAACTAAATATTTTATTTAACGAACACTTGACCAGCGAGTAAGAGAACAGTGATGGAACTTCATCTCCTATATGGATGCAGACGACTAGTGGTGCCTGAGAAATAAATTCCAGGAATTCTTGCCAGGCAATTGGAGATACTTGATTGGGCTTTTATCATTAATGAAATGTGTTGTGCTTGTTTTTCAAAATGATTTGCTACAGTATATCCTTTTATTGG